GTTCCGGGAAGTATAGTTTCAGGGACTTCAGGCTTTCCCAATAATTTAGCTATTTGACGCCCACAACCCGCACATAGGAGAGGAACTTACGACGGGGTTTCGGTCCAAGTCAATTCAAATTCAAATTAAAATTCAAAGTTTATTCTCTATAAGTCGGAGTGAAACGTTGTCGTAAGCTCTTCTCTCCTATGCGCGGGTTATTTGTGTATTATTCCAGTCACGATAATGTGCCTTTTTGCTCTTTAGTTACTTAAACTTGTTCGGTTAGTGAAAATTCTCTATACGTTGTCCTTATCAACAATTTTTGCTGCCGTAAGTGAGGCACTCCAGAGAAAACAAGTGCCATAAAAAGTATAAAATTTGGGTAGATATATGTATAGTTGTGAAGATTGTGTTTATCCAGCCTATTTATCCAGTGTTGCTATCTTGTGATAGAAACACTGTTGTGATCCTTTATTTTCCAGTTTTGCTATCTTGTGAAGAAACACTGTTGTGACCCTTTATTTACCAGTGTTGCTATCTTTGATAGAAACCACTGTTTTTGACCCTTTATTTATCCAGTGTTGCTATCTTGTGATAGAAACATTGTTGTGATCCTTTATTTATCCAGTGTTGCTATCTTGTGATAGAAACACTGTTGTGATCCTTTATTTATCCAGTGTTGCTATCTTGTGATAGAAACACTGTTGTCATCCTTTATTTATCCAGTGCTGCTATCTTGTGATAGAAACACTGTTGTGATCCTTCAACATAAGATACTCCCACAGCATTACTCGTTAACATTTTTCTTCCACACTGTTGAATGTTTGAGTGTGTCTCATATTCTGTTCAAGTTTATATTTGTAAAAATTTTCCTTAGCGGGGTAACTGAAATTTGTCCTCGTTGAACATGTTTTGGGTAATGGTAAAATTACCGACAATGTTAGGTATAGGGCACAGGTACAACCCGACAATGTTAGGTAAAGGGGCACAGGTACAACCCGACAATGTTAGGTAAAGGGGCACAGGTACAACCCGACAATGTTAGGTAAAGGGGCACAGGTACAACCCGACAATGTTAGATAAAGGGGCACAGGTACAACCCGACAATGTTAGGTAAAGGGGCACAGGTACAACCCGACAATGTTAGGTAAAGGGGCACAGGTACAACCCGCCCAATGTTAGGTAAAGGGGCACGGTACAACCCGACAATGTTGGGTTAAAGGGGGCACAGGTACAACCCACAATGTTTAGGTAAAGGGGCACGGGTTACAACCGACAATGTTAGGTAAAGGGGCACAGGTACAACCCGACAATGTTAGGTAAAGGGGCACAGGTACAACCCGACAATGTTAGGTAAAGGGGCACAGGTACAACCCGACAATGTTAGATAAAGGGGCACAGGTACAACCCGACAATGTTAGGTAAAGGGGCACAGGTAAAAACCCCGAACAATGTTAGGTAAAGGGGCACAGGTACAACCCGACAATGTTGGTAAAGGGCACAGGTACAACCCGACAATGTTAGGTAAAGGGGCACAGGTACAACCCGACAATGTTAGGTAAAGGGGCACAGGTACAACCCGACAATGTTAGGTAAAGGGGCACAGGTACAACCCGACAATGTTAGGTAAAGGGGCACAGGTGCAACTGATCCACAGTTTATTGTGGCAACGTTTCGCTGTTCAGCCTTGACAAAGCTTATGGGAGGCTAAACGTTGCTAAAGTAAAATATAACACACAAATAACCCGCACATAAAAGAGAGAAGCTTACGACGACGTTTCGGTCCGACTTGGACCATTGACAAAGTCACACTAACCAGAGGTATTGTGCCTGTTTTGTTATTTAAAATATAACACAAGTTGCACCTGTGTCCTTTTACCTGCCATTGTTTTTGTAGTCGACGGGAGGTCCTCGTTGACGTTGACTTGGAGATTTGCTGCGTCCAGATGCCATTGCTCTCATCAAATGATATCTTAGAGGCGCTGTGATTAAAAGTAGAGAACATGAACCTGGTAATACCTTGCTTTGTTCGTTGAGCTGGCACAAAAAAAAAGTATAGTTCACCCAGGCCATGATGGATATGTGGGCCAGCGAGAAGTCAACAGCAAGTGTGATTGAACAGGCAAGCAGCAGACAAGCCTGACCTAGGGCCGGGCTGTGGTAGTAGAATTTGCAGATGTCATGTGTAGGTAATTATTCAGATAAAAATATGTAATACACTTAATTGTGACGAGTAATGAAAGTGATCACAAGATCACAACTACGACTCATCAGTGAAGCAGTGATCAGTCTTCAAGATCACAACTAAGACTACATCAGTGAAGCAGTGATCAGTCTTCAAAATCACAACTAGACTCACAGTGAAGCAGTGATCAGTCTTCAAGATCACAACTAAGACTCATCAGTGAAGCAGTGATCAGTCTTCAAGATCACAACTAAGACTACATCAGTGAAGCAGTGATCAGTCTTCAAGATCACAACTAAGACTCATCAGTGAAGCAGTGATCAGTCTTCAAGATCACAACTTTAAGAAATACTCAGTGAAGCACTCATCAGTCTTCAAGATCACAACTAAGACTACATCAGTGAAGCAGTGATCAGTCTTCAAGATCACAACTAAGACTACATCAGTGAAGCAGTGATCAGTCTTCAAGGTCACAACAAGACTTACATCAGTGGGAAGCAGTGAGTGTCTTCAAGATCACAACTAAGACTACATCAGTGAAAGCAGTGATCAGTCTTCAAGATCACAACTAAGACTACATCATGAAGCAGTGATCAGTCTTCAAGATCAACTAAGACTACATCAGTGAAGCAGTGTCAGTCTTCAAGATCACAACTAAGACTACACAGTGAAGCAGTGATCAGTCTTCAAGATCACAAAATAAGACTCATCAGTGAAGCAGTGATCAGTCTTCAAGATCACAACTAAGACTCATCAGTGAAGCAGTGATCAGTCTTCAAGATCACAACTAAGACTACATCAGTGAAGCACTCATCAGTCTTCAAGATCACAACTAAGACTACATCAGTGAAGCAGTGATAAGTCTTCAAGATCACAACTAAGACTACATCAGTGAAGCAGTGATCAGTCTTCAAGGGCACAACTAAGATAATCAGTGAAGCAGGTGATCAGTCCTTCAAGATCACAACTAAGGAAATACATCAGTGAAGCAGTGATCAGTCTTCAAGATCACAACTAAGACTACATCAGTGAAGCAGTGATCAGTCTTCAAGATCACAACTAAGACTACATCAGTGAAGCAGTGATCAGTCTTCAAGATCACAACTAAGACTACATCAGTGAAGCAGTGATCAGTCTTCAAGATCACAACTAAGACTACATCAGTGAAGCAGTGATCAGTCTTCAAGATCACAACTACGACTCATCAGTGAAGCACTGATCAGTCTTCAAGATCACAACTAAGACTACATCAGTGAAGCAGTGATCAGTCTTCAAGATCACAACTAAGACTACATCAGTGAAGCAGTGATCAGTCTTCAAGATCACAACTACGACTCATCAGTGAAGCAGTGATCAGTCTTCAAGATCACAACTAAGACTACATCAGTGAAGCATTGATCAGTCTTCAAGATCACAACTAAGACTACATCAGTGAAGCAGTGATCAGTCTTCAAGATCACAACTAAGACTACATCAGTGAAACACTGATCAGTCTTCAAGATCACAACTAAGACTACATCAGTGAAGCAGTGATCAGTCTTCAAGATCACAACTAAGACTACATCAGTGAAGCAGTGATCAGTCTTCAAGATCACAACTAAGACTACATCAGTGAAGCAGTGATCAGTCTTCAAGATCACAACTAAGACTACATCAGTGAAGCAGTGATCAGTCTTCAAGATCACAACTAAGATACTCAGTGAAGCAGTGATCAGTCTTCAAGGTCACAACTAAGACTACATCAGTGAAGCAGTGATCAGTCTTCAAGATCACAACTAAGACTACATCAGTGAAGCAGTGATCAGTCTTCAAGATCACAACTAGTGAGGTGGTTTAGGCAGGTAGTGTAGAGGTTAGTGTGGTGGTTTAGGTAGGTAGTGTAAGAGTTAGTGTGGTTTGGGGTTTAGGCAGGTAGTGTAGAGGTTAGTGAGGTGGTTTAGGCAGGTAGTGTAGAGGTTAGTGTGGTGGTTTAGGCAGGTAGTGTAGAGGTTAGTGAGGTGGTTTAGGCAGGTAGTGTAGAGGTTAGTGTGGTGGTTTAGGCAGGTAGTGTAAGGTTAGTGGGGGTGGTTTAGGCAGGTTTGTGTAGAGGTTAGTGAGGGGGTTTAGGCAGGTAGTGTAGAGGTTAGTGTGGTGGTTTAGGTAGGTGTTAGAGGTTAGTGTGGTGGTTTAAGGGTAGTAGGTTAGAGGGTTAGGGGTGGTGTTTAGGCAGGGAGTGTAGAGGTTAGTGTGGGGGTTTAGGCAGGTAGTGTAGAGGTTAGTGAGGGTGGTTTAGGCAGGGAGTGTAGAGGTTTGTGTGGTGGTTTAGCAGGTAGTGTAGAGGTTAGTGAGGTGGTTTAGGTAGTGTAGAGGTTAGTGTGGTGGTTTAGGCGGTAGTGTAGAGGTTAGTGAGGTGGTTTAGGCAGGTAGTGTAGAGGTTAGTGAGGTGGTTTAGGCAGGTAGTGTAGAGGTTGTGAGGTGGTTAGGCAGGTAGTGTAGGGTAGTGTGGGTGGTTTAGGCAGGTAGTGTAGAGGTTAGTGAGGGGTTTAGGGGAGGTAGTGTAGAGGTTAGTGAGGTGGTTTAGGCAGGTAGTGTAGAGGTTAGTGAGGTGGTTTAGGCAGGTAGTGTAGAGGTTAGTGTGGTGGTTTAGGCAGGTAGTGTAGAGGTTAGTGAGGTGGTTTAGGCAGGTAGTGTAGAGGTTAGTGGGTAGTTTTGGCAGGTAGTTGTAGAGGTTAGGGAGGTGTTTAGGAGGTAGTTGTGAGGGTTTGTGAGGTGGTTTAGGCAGGTAGTGTAGAGGTTAGTGAGGGAGTTTAGGCGGTAGTGTAGAGGTTAGTGAGGTGGTTTAGGCAGGTAGTGTAGAGGTTAGTGAGGTGGTTTAGGCAGGTAGTGTAGCAACGTAAACAAAGATGGCGCTCAGTGCGCCACAGCTCGTCACTCCTGCAGGAAGGAACTAGTGAACATGTACACTGAGAGGGTCAGTAGGTGCTGCTGAGTGAGGTGGATGAGAGGTAGTGATGCAGGGGGACATGAAGGGTCATAGTGCTGCCTGAAATGAGTTTGGGTTGAGGAGGGTAGTGATGGCAGGGACATGACAGGGGTCATAGTGCTGCGAGTGAGGTGGTGAGAGGGTAGGTGATGGCAGGGACATGACAGGGTCAGTATGTCTGCTGAGTGAGGTGTGAGGAGGTTGTGATGCAGGGACATGACAGGGGCAGTAGGTTTGCTTGTGAAGGTGTGAGGAGGGTATGAGAGGGGCTTTACAGGGGTCAGTAGGTGTGCGTGAGGAGGTAGGTGATGCAGGGGGCATGGCATGGGGGCAGTAGGTGCTGCTGAGTGAGTGGTGAGGAGGTAGGTGGCAAGGGCATCCAGGGTCAGTAGTCTGCTGAGTGAGGTGTGAGGAGGGTAGTGATGCAGGGGACATGCCCGGGGCAGTAGGTGCTTTCTATGTGAGTGGTGGGAGGGTAGGTGATGGAGGGGCATGACAGGGGGCAGTAAGTGCTGCTGATGAGGTGGTAGGGTGTAGGTGATGGCAGGACATGACAGGGGCAGTAGGGGCTGCTGATGAGGTGTGAGGGGTAGTATGCAGGGGCCCTGACAAGGGTCCCGTAGTCTCTGATGAGGTGGGAAAGGGGAGGTGATGGCAGGGGGGCAGGGTCAGTAGTGCTGCTGAGTGAGGTGGTGAGGAGGGTAGGTGATGGCAGGGGACATGACAGGGGTCAGTAGGTGCTGCTGAGTGAGGTGGTGAGGAGGGTAGGTGATGGCAGGGGGCATGCAGGGTCATAGTGCTGCTGAAGTAGGTGGTTAGGAGGGTAGTTATGGCAGGGACATGACAGGGGGCATAAAGGGGCTTTGCTGAGTGAGGTGGTGAGGGGGTAGTGATGGCTGGGCATGACAGGGGTCAGTAGGTGCTGCTGAGTGAGGTGGTGAGGAGGGTAGGTGATGGCAGGGGGCATGACAGGGGTCAGTAGGTGCTGCTGAGTGAGGTGGTGAGGAGGGTAGGTGATGGCAGGGGGTATGACAGGGGTCAGTAGGTGCTGCTGAGTGAGGTGGTGAGGAGGGTAGGTGATGGCAGGGGGCATGACAGGGGTCAGTAGGTGCTGCTGAGTGAGGTGGTGAGGAGGGTAGGTGATGGCAGGGGGCATGACAGGGGGCATGGCAGGGGCAGAGCTGGGGCATGACAGGGGCAGAGCTGGGGCATGACAGGGGGCAGAGCTTGGGGTGCATGACAGGGGCATGGCAGGGGGCATGACAGGGGGCAGTAGGTGCTGCTGAGTGAGGTGGTGAGGAGGGTAGGTGATGGCAGGGGGCATGACAGGGGTCAGTAGGGGGCAGAGCTGGGGCATGACAGGGGCAAGCTGGGGGCATGACAGGGGCAGAGTTTGGGGGATGAAGGGGGCAGGGCCCAGGGGCATTGGCAGGGGGCAGAGCTGGGGGCATGATGGGGCAGAGCTGGGGGCATGACAGGGGGCAGAGCGGGGGGCATGATGGGGCAAGGCTGGGGGCAATGACAGGGGGCAGAGCTGGGGGCATGATGGGCAGAGCTGGGGCATGACAGGGGGCATGGCGGGGGCAGAGCTGGGGGCATGATGGGGCAGAGCTGGGGGGAAATGACAGGGGCAGAGCTGGGGGCATGATGGGGCAGAGCTGGGGGCATGACAGGGGGCAGAGCTGGGGGCATGATGGGGCAGAGCTGGGGGCATGACAGGGGGCATGACAGGGGGCATGACAGGGGGGGACACCTGCCAACGCAGTTTTCTCTCTTTTTTTGCCTATTTTAGTTATCGTAATATTTCCGTGATTTTCTAGTATTGTCATAGATATGTCATGATCTTCCTCTCATAAATATTGTCATAGATATGTATGACTTCCTCCATAAATATTGTCATAGATATGTCATGATCTTCCTCTCATAAATATTGTCATAGATATGTCATGATCTTCCTCTCATAAATATTGTCATAGATATGTCATGATCTTCCTCTCATAAATATTGCATAGATAGTCAGATCTTCCTCCAAAATTTCATGAATGTCAGATCTTCCTCTCATAAATATTGTCATAGATATGTCATGATCTTCCTCTCATAAATATTGTCATAGATATGTCATGATCTTCCTGTCATAAATATTGTCATAGATATGTCATGATCTTCCTCTCATAAATATTGTCATAGATATGTCATGATCTTCCTCTCATAAATATTGTCATAGATATGTCATGATCTTCCTCTCATAATATTTTGTCATAGATATGTCATGATCTTCCTCTCATAAATATTGTCATAGATATGTCATGATCTTCCTCTCATAAATATTGTCATAGATATGTCATGATCTTCCTCTCATAAATATTGCCCAAAAGATATGTCATGATTTTCCCTCTCATAAATAGGGTTCATAGAAAATGTCATAAACTTCCTCTAAATAAATATTTGTATAGAATTGTCATGATCTTCCTCTCTTTAAATATTGTCATGATATGTCATGATCTTCCTCTCATATCTACCGGGATGATTCTCATTTATAGTTTCCTCTTTTTTTCCCTTAAATTAGGCAGTGCAGTACATTCACTGGATAACCCCTTTGGGTTTAGTTCTTTCCCCATAAAAAGTAATATAAAATTAAGTGCTAGACCCACAAGGGTCATGGAGCGCTGGAGGGAAAAATACAGATATCGCAAAAACTGATGTGCTGCAGTGATAGGTCAGCGTTGTATGACCCCTTGTGGGTTTAGCGCTTAGTTTTGATTATAATTTCCATTATATTGAGGAATTTATCTATCATTATTTTATTATTTTTTAGTAGGTTTAGCGCTTCTTTTTTAATTATAATTATTATTGTTAGGGGGCAAAACCCACATGGGTCATTTAAACACAAGGTTTTTTGGAGGCTCTTTCCTCTGTCTGCTGAGCGCCAGACTGCCGAACTGTATGTTGCCCCCGATCTTTGACCTTTTTTTATTGTCGGCATATCCTGTGTGATTTACACGTATGTTACGATGTAAAAAATATAATGTGATTCATCCAACAGAGATAAAACACCTCAAATTACTGGGAGCGTTGAGGTTCCTAAACCTGTATTCCCTGGAACGCAGGAGGGAGAGATACAGGGTTATATACACCTGGAAAATCCTAGAGGGACTAGTACCGAACTTGCACACGAAAATCACTCCCCTACGAAAGCAAAAGACTTGGCAGACGATGCACCATCCCCCAATGAAAAGCAGGGGTTGTCACTAGCACGTTAAGAGACCATACAATAAGTGTCAGGGGCCCGAGACTGTTCAACTGCTCCCAGCACACATAAGGGGGATTACCAACAGACCCCTGGCAGTCTTCAAAGCTGGCACTGGACAAGCACCAAAAGTCAGTTCCTGATCAGCTGGGCTGTGGCTCGTACGTTGGTTTGCGTGCAGCCGCACAACAGCCTGGTTGATCAGGCTCTGATCCACCAGGAGGCCTGGTCACAGACCGGGCCCCGGGGGCGTTGACCCCCGGAACTCTCTCCAGGTAAACTCCAGGGGAAATGTAAGTGGTAATGGGGGTATAATTGGATCTACGTACTACCAAATACTTAAAAAAGGTTTGAAATTTCATGCACTCTATCAGATGGCCTGACGATCATTCCTGAAATTTTAAAACATAATTCATCCCTAATACAGTGGACCCCCGCATAACGATTACCTCCCAATGCGACCAATTATGTAAGTGTATTTATGTAAGTGCATTTGTACGTGTATGTTTGGGGTCTGAAATGGACTAATCTACTTCACAAAATTTCTTATGGAAAAATTCGGTCAGTACTGGCACCTGAACATACTTCTGGAGTGAAAAAAAAATCGTTAACCGGGGTCCCACTGTATTTTAAGAATTAAAAATTAAGACTCCATATCTTGAGTCTGGTTACTGTATGAAAATTTTAACCCCAAAATAAATTTACACTGCATAAAGTATTTACCTGTATTATATTGTGTGCTGGGTTTTATGAATTATGAAAATTTTTCAGATTTTCTTACTACACTAATACAAAGTGGTGATGGTGAACATTCCTCGATTTTATCCCATATGGGTTATTTTGACTTATAGGCCATACTAATTATGACTCATTCTTGTCCTGCTGCTATAGAACACATCCCTTCTCGGCCAGTCTTCACCAAGCATCTGGAAAACGTGACTGTAACTCGAGGCAGCACTGTACGCTTTGAGGTGGATACCTGCACACAAAATACTCTCGTGCCTTTTTTAGTGTGGAAAAAGCATTTATAGATATAGATTTATAGATTTATAGATACAAAAATTCTTGAGGATGCCCTAAATGGCAAGGAAGACTTGTATTATCAATTTGAGCATCATGTGTGGTGTGAAGTCACTATGATGCTAACAGTAGTGATGCTGACAAAAAAATATGTTGGCTGAATAATGCATGCTAATTAGTTTTGAAAAAACTAAAGACTAGCATGTTTATGAATGTGTGCTTATGTCAGCCTTGAGAAAAGGCAAAATGAGTAAGATAAGATAAGATAAGATTTCGTTCGGATTTTTAACCCCGGAGGGTTAGCCACCCAGGATAACCCAAGAAAGTCAGTGCGTCATCGAGGACTGTCTAACTTATTTCCATTGGGGTCCTTAATCTTGTCCCCCAGGATGCCACCCACACCAGTCGACTAACACCCAGGATGCGACCCACACCAGTCGACTAACACCCAGGATGTGACCCACACCAGTCCACTAACACCCAGGATGCGACCCACACCAGTCCACTAACACCCAGGATGCGACCCACACCAGTCGACTAACACCCAGGATGCGACCCACACCAGTCGACTAACACCCAGGTACCCATTTGCTGCTAGGTGAACAGGACAATAGGTGTAAGGAAACGTGTCGGAATTTCCACCCGCCGGGAATCGAACCCGGGCCCTCAGTGTGTGAAGCGGGAGTTTTAGCCACCAGGCCACCGGGCCACATGTAGCTTTGAGTAACTTCACTCAGCATGTTCACCAGTATATTAATGTAAATTGAGAATGGACTCTTTACATTGAGTTTTAAGTTTTAAGGCTTTGGAAAATGAATATTGTAGTTTAATTAAGCTTGTCCTTACTCCATATCTATGTGCTTGCTGTTTGTGCTGCATGTTTTGTCTTGTCTTGTGTGTTTTATGAACTTTCTGAATTGATTAATTAAAAAAAAAAAGGAATATTGCATAATACTAATTTATTTTTACTTTTTTTACAAATTTGTAGACTAACAAGAAAAAAAGGCAAATTTTAATAAAGTATCATCTGTAATTTCTGTTGGGGAAAAGAAAAGCTTCCTAAATTCTGTTTTGCACTTTCACAAAATCTAAAGAAAAGTATTCTTGAAACTTTCCTAAATTGATATACCTAATGAAGTGTAATATTTTTGTAAATGTACCATATTTCAAAATAAATATTTTTTCCTAAGCAGTTATTGAGACAGGTTTAATTTTAGGAGGGTGGTAATATAAGAAGCATGGAGGATGGTCAAGTTGTAGTGCTGACCAACGTCACAGAGAATGATGCTGGTTGGTGCACAGACATTGCTGCCAACAGTCTTGGAACATCGTCATCAACAGCATACCTCAATGTAATGGAGGGTAAGCTCACTGAATTGACAAAAACATTTTTCAGAGGCACTAGAAAAGATACTGTATGCAGAGGTCCAATTTTAACAATATTTGTTGGGGTTCAGTAATGCTTAAATAATACTGCATATGTAATTTTATATTCAATATAATGTAATGACTGTTTTATATATCTCTAGGAATGGCAGAGTCAAATAATTACTTTTTGCAGATGTCAGCCTTAAAGGCTGACATCTGCAAAATATGGAGAGGGCAAATGACGTGAATTCTCTCTTAAGACAAAGATTGATAGTAAACATTAGTGATTGGATTAAAATTCAGGATATTTCTTTCCATGTACAGTAATGTACATCTTACAGATTTAATTTGGGTGGTGGTGCTTACAGTGTACTGTCATTTTTTCAGCGGAGCCCATCCTTGCAGATGCTGAATCTCATGCTATTCTCATCCTGGGGGTAGTTTTACTTTCTGTTATGGTAATTGCTAGCATCATGGCTTCCTTTGTCTGGAAGAAATGTCAAAAGGAAAAGAGACGTGCCATTGACCTGGAACATGGGTCTGAAATAGCAAGTATATCAGAATATGAGCTACTTTTCGGTACTCCTTGGGAATTACCACGTTCAAGGCTGGTGATGGGAGAAACTCTAGGAGAGGGTGCCTTTGGGAAAGTTGTAAGAGCTGAAATACAAGGTTTCCTTAGACCAGATATGAATACAACTGTGGCAGTCAAAATGTTGAAAGGTAAGAGTCTGGTTAAAAAGATGTAGGCATTGAGAAGTACAGTATACAGTGGACCCCCGGTTAACGATTTTAATCCGTGCAAGAGGGCTCATCGTTATGCGAAATAATCGTTATGCGAATGAATTTTCCCCATAAGAAATAATGGAAATAAAATTAATCCGTGCAAGACGCCCAAAAGTATGAAAAAAAATTTTTTTTACCACATGAAATGTTAATTTTAATACACACAAACTGAAAAAGGCATGCACAATTACATGACACTTACTTTTATTGAAGATCTGGTGATGATTGATGGGATGGGAGGAGGGGAGAGCATTATCTTCTTACTGTTTAGAAGGGGAATCCCCTTCCATTAGGACTTGAGGTAGCAAGTCCTTTTCTGGGGTTACTTCCCTTCTTCTTTTAATGCCACTAGGACCAGCTTGAGAGTCACTGGACCTCTGTCGCACAACAAATCTGTCCATAGAGCTCTGTACCTCCCGTTCCTTCAAGACTTTCCTAAAATGGGCCATAACATTGTCATTGAAATAGTCACCAGCACGGCTTGCAACAGCTGTGTCAGGGTGATTTTCATCTATAAAGGTTTGCAGTTCAACCCACTGTGCACACATTTCCTTAATCTTTGAAGTAGGCACAATGGATTCCACAACTGGCATAGGCTTCTCAGGGTTAGCCCCAAACCCTTTAAAATCTTTCTTAATTTCCATACTAATTCTCACCCTTTTTACCACAGGGTTGGCACTAGAAGCTTTCTTGGGGCCCATGGTCACTTATTTTCCAGAAACAGCACCGAAAACACTGTAATAATACGAAATATTCCGAGTGTATGCTTGGATGTTACCGCGGAGGCTGGCTGGTAAACAATGGGACGGCCGGCACATGTGAGGGCACATTGGACGCGTCTCGGACGAAAATCGGTATGCGGGTTTTTAATCGGTATGCGCGGCAAAAATTTTGCGATAAAAGTAATCGTTATGCGGAAAAATCGCTATGCGATGCCATCGTTATGCGGGGGTCCACTGTACTGTGAAGGGTATGAAGGTTGCAGTTCAGTCATTGGGAATGTGATGTTTGTACTTGAGACAGAATGAGGAATAGTAAGAGTGAATCTGCTTCCTTCTCTTGGTGACCCTTCCTTAGTAGGAAATAGTCAATGTGATTTAAAACCTTTGTATTTTGTTTTGCCAGAATTCTGTAGTCTTTACTTTTAACTATACATGTATTTACTACATATGCCCTGCTTTGTTAAAAAATTTTGTTTGTCAAACTTCCAAATTTGTGAAAAAAAAAAATATTTCCAAGAGTTTTTTAAGGAGAGTACTAATTTGTTTTTGCCTTGGTCCAACAGAGGGTCACACAGACTCTGAATTAATGGACTTGGTGTCAGAGATGGAAAGGATGACAATGATTGGCACACATATCAATATCATTAACCTACTTGGATGCTGTAAGCAAGATGGCCCTCTGTATGTTGTCGTTGAGTATGCAGCTCATGGAAATTTGCGTGACTATCTCCGCAACAACAGACCATCTTCTGGCTATGAACGAGCAATTGGCCAGGAACTAGATACAATTACACAAAATGACTTGGTTAGCTTTGCCTGCCAAGTAGCTCGTGGCATGGAATACCTAGCATCAAAGAAGGTACGTCTCTAATGGGGGTACAAAAGATATTTTGGCTCTTGTTTATGTGAAGCAATTGCATTTTTTTTATACTGAGATATAATGTGTAGGAATATTGAGGCTTGCCTCTGCAGACATACGGATGTGAAAGTGAGGAAAAAATAGAGAACTACAAGTGAAATAGTGTCAGCCCAAAAAAAAAAATTGAGGAGAGTATTCATTGTAAGGATGTTGTGTGGGTGCAGGAAATAGTGTATACGACCAAACGGTACATATGACTGGATGTTGTGTATGACAGATGGTATATACAACTAGATGGTTCACATGGCTAGGTAATGCAGCATATATGACCTCTGGTACAGTATATTGGACCAGATTGTACTGCAGTGTGAGAGCAGCCAAATAAATAAAAACAATTAAAGGGAGGGAAATTTTTGACTGAGTCATAACAGTGTTTAATAGGTCAACTAGTCTACCATCTACAGTGTTTAATAGGTCAACTAGTCTACCATCTACAGTGTTTAATAGGTCAACTAGTCTACCATCTACAGTGTTTAATAGGTCAACTAGTCTACCATCTACAGTGTTTAATAGGTCAACTAGTCTACCATCTACAGTGTTTAATAGGTCAACTAGTCTACCATCTACAGTGTTTAATAGGTCAACTAGTCTACCATCTACAGTGTTTAATAGGTCAACTAGTCTACCATCTACAGTGTTTAATAGGTCAACTAGTCTACCATCTACAGTGTTTAATAGGTCAACTAGTCTACCATCTACAGTGTTTAATAGGTCAACTAGTCTACCATCTACAGTGTAATATTAAATACATTCTTTACATAGTTTCACCACTATATTTTATTACTAATAATTGCAAAACATATTTTTCTGTTACACATTAAAATGTATATACAGTATCAAATTTTGTCCAAAATATACTATTATCAGTTCTAGAAAAAAACAATCAGGTGTAATATATATATATATATATATATATATATATATAATATATATATATATATATATTATATATATATACAGGAGGGCCCCACTTATACGGCAGGTTAGGTTCCAGGCTACCGCCGTTAAAGCGGAAATCGCCGTAAAGTGGGAACACCCTTTTTTTCCACTTATAAATGCATACAAACACTAGATAACAAGTTTACACTAACATATATTAAGTTAGCAATAGAACCAGGCATCAAAAAAACAATAAAAAAGTACAATACACACATAGTGCACTCATTACTTACCTTAAAATATTTATAGTCTTAATCTAGGGTGAGACAAGTAGTATTTATTGTAAGAAATCAAGTGTGGTATGTATTGTAATAGCCAGGCTACCTTACAGGCCACCCCACCCACACATACTATTCTATGATATTTAAGCATCCCAGAGCGATAAAATGTATATACAGTTCACTCATTACTTACCTTAAAATATTTGTAGTCTTAATGTAGGGTCAGGAGTAAGTAAATGAGATAAAACGAATAAATGAGAGAGAGAAAGAATGAGTACATGAGAGGGGACAGGCGCAGAGTAAACAAACCAGGCGAACGTAAGTTTTGTAAACAAACGAAGTGTACACGTCTGGTTTGTGTACAAGTTACATTGTGTACAGGTTGTCTCTACATTGATACGGTAGAATTAATAAAGAAGAACACTCCCATTCTCATGTAACATCATTTTGAGAAGAAATGAAGCTCTGAGTGAAGGCAATGGAAATAAGTCACACTGACTTTTTTGGGTTATCCTAGGTTCTCTACACGTATGTTGTTATGTATGATAATCTATGTAACTGTATTTGTGTATACCTATATAAACTTACTTACATACATACGAAAGGAATAATTTTCTACAGTTACCCCCAGTAACACATTTTCTCTTATGTTAGATTAGAGAAAATGTTATTCTTGCCGTCACTTGTACAAGTTATGTGGCTCCCACATCTTATATTTATGTTTATTTATTCTATTGTGGGGTGTATTTATCATCTTTTTATGTTATGTATCGTGTTTATTATATAATTTTGAAAAAAATATCATGGATGGATTAATGAAAATGTGTATATTACCGTAATATACGACATTTAATGAGACTCGGTGAGTATTGTTATTATTATCACTTGTGCAAGTCGTCTGCTACCACATCTCACATTTATGTTTATTTATTCTACTGTGGGGTGTATTTATCTTATTTATATGTTATGCATCGTGTTTATTATATAATTTTGAAAAAAATATCATGGATGGATTAATGAAAATGTGTATATTACCGTAATATACGACATTTAATGAGACTCGGTGAGTATTGTTATTATTATCATTTCTAATATGGCGTCACTTGTGCAAGTCGTCTGCTACCACATCTCACATTTATGTTTATTTATTCTACTGTGGGGTGTATTTATCTTATTTATATGTTATGCATCGTGTTTATTATATAATTTTGAAAAAAATATCATGGATGGATTAATGAAAATGTGTATATTAACGTAGTATACGACATTTAAATGACTCGATGTATGTAAGTTTATTTAGGTACAGGTATACATAAGTATAATTATCAGAGTAAATATAAAATATGAAATAACTTTTAAAAACATTTGAAATTTTGGAGTTTCCAGACAAAATGGAGAGACTTAGTGCTTACTGAGCTCATGGAGAATGTAAACAAACAGGGTGGGGCACGGTGACCGTATTAGAAAGTCAGGTGGGGGGAGCCGTTATAGCGAGTTTTGGTCATAATTTGAAATGTCCGTATTAGCGGAACGCCGTAAAGTGAAACGCCGTAAAGCGGGGCCTTCCTGTATATATATATATATATATATATATATATATATATATATATATATATATATATCTTTCTTTCTTTCTTTCTTTCTTTCTTTCTTTCTTTCTTTCAACGCACCAGCTGCATCCCACTAAGGCGGGGTGGCCCAAAAGGACAAACGAAAGTTTCTCCTTTTAAATTTAGTAATATATACAGGAGAAGGGGTTACTAGCCCTTTGCTCCTGGCATTTTAGTCGCCTCTTACGACACGCATGGCTTACGGAGGAAGAATTCTGTTCCACTTCCCCATGGAAAATATAAATATATATACGTATATATGTATATATATATATTCTTCTTTCTTTCAACACACCGGCCGTATCCCACCGAGGTGGGGTGGCCCAACAGGAAAAACGAAAGTTCCTCCTTTCAAATTTAGTAATATACAGTGGACCCCCGCATACCGTTGGCATCACATAACGTTAAATCCGCATACCGCTACATTTTATCGCCAAGATTTTGCCTCGCATACCGCTAAAAAACCCGCTCAACGCTGTTCGTCCGAGACGCGTCTAATGTGCGCCCTTAGCCAGCCTCACATGTTCTGCCTGTGGCATTGTTTACCAGCCAGCCTCCGCGGTAACATCCAAGCATACAATCGGAACATTTCGTATTATTACAGTGTTTCTGGTGATTTTATCTGCAAAATAAGTGACCATGGGCCCCAAGAAAGCTTCTAGTGCCAACCCTACAGGAATAAGGGTGAGAATTACTATAGAGATGAAGAAAGAGATCATTGATAAGTATGAAAGTGGAGTGCGTGTCTCTGAGCTGGCCAGGTTGTATAGTAAACCCCAATCAACCATCGCTACTATTGTGGGCAACAAAAAGGCAATCAAGGAAGCTGTTCTTGCCAAAGGTTTAACTGTGTTTTCGAAACAGAGATCGCAAGTGATGGAAGATGTTGAGAGACTGTTATTGGTGTGGATAAATGAGAAACAGATAGCAGGAGATAGCATCTCTCAAGTGATAATAAGTGAAAAGGCTAGGAAGTTGCATGAGGATTTAATTAAAAAAATGCCTGCAACTAGTGATGATGTGAGTGAATTTAAGGCCAGCAAAGGTTGGTTTGAGAGATTTAAGAGGCGTAGTGGCATACATAGTGTGATAAGGCATGGTGAGGCTGCCAGTTCGGACCACAAAGCAGCTGAAAAATATGTGCAGGAATTAAAGGAGTACATAGAAACTGAGGAACTGAAACCTGAACAAGTGTTTAATTGTGATGAAACAGGCCTGTTTTGGAAGAAAATGCCAAGCAGGACCTACATTACTCAGGAGGAAAAGGCACTCCCAGGACATAAGCCTATGAAAGACAGGCTTACTCTGTTGATGTGTTCCAATGCTACTGGTGATTGCAAAGTGAAGCCTTTATTAGTGTATCACTCTGAAACTCCCAGACCGTTCAGGCAAAAGAATGTCCTCAAGGCTAATTTGTGTGCTGTGGAGGGCAAACAGTAAGGCATGGGTGTTATGACCAAGGTCATAATGTGATTAATTTATATGTATTATCCACTTAATATTATACTCTGGGTTTCTTTAATATTAGCTAAATTAAAGATTCCACTAGTTTATAATATTATCTGATTTAGGAATATACCCGGGTATGATGTATATATATATATCTTGAGTAATGTGTTAGATAGGTACACCTGGCTAAGGTTTATAACAAGGTATCTCCATTGGTGGGTAGTTTGCACCGCTCTACCCTCTCCCCCTTTTGACGAGTTGATGTCATGAAGGAATTTACTGTATATGGCAGTTCACTCTCTCTGCTGACTCAGTGTGCATTGACTGAGCTACCCTCCTAGTACTCCGCCTTATTCTCACTTGGATAGAGAATTGGGTTATAGAAACTCCTGATCCAGCTTGTGGTTTATTGTGAAGTCTTCTGACAATCATATACTGTTATCTTCAGGTTACGATGTGACGACCAGTTGTCAAGCTTAGAATTTTGTGATATATTCCTTATGCCAGGGAGTTACTCAGAAAAAGTGTTAATTCTCAATATATGTACTTGCACACAAGTAATGTTACTACTGAGGAAGCGATAATATTCCTCTGATCATTGTCAAGTGTAGTGACCATATTGACATGTACATTCTATTTAAGAGTTTTCTTGTGTGAAGGAAAGTTTCTGACATTGATATTTAATAGATATTTATGAATATCTAAAGTATTTAAGCTTTTA